TATAATTCAATGTTCGTCGTGGCAAATAGCCAGGAAAGTAGTTGTTTTTTGTTGAATAATCAGAATGATATTATGTGCATATCTTTATATGGAGAATGCAAATTTTCTACTTCAGGAGATTTTGTTTTCAAATTCTTATCGTATGTGTTCGATAGATATAACTCAATGTTCGTCCTGGCATATAATCAGGAAAGTAGTTGTTTTCTGTCGAATAAACCGAGAAAGAATTGATATTTTCATCACATGAAGAATGCGAATTTTCAATGTATTACTTTATATATATATTAATTTTTTTATGTTCATAATTATATCTAAGAATATTCCTTTTCAATACTTTCACCCAATCAAAGTTTTTCCTCTTCTTAACGTTTTTCGTGGTAAGATATACAGCGATTCTAGTCGTTTTCACCAATCTTTTTTCTACGTGGCTCCTAAAATGATAATTTAGATCCAGCGTCGACGACATATACTGGGTGTCAACGAATCTATTATACAAGCCATAAAGTACTAGAATATTCGGTGTATCAAAATTAAATTTGATATTGGTGAGTGTATGGTATATAGAGAGAAAAGTTTCCGCATATTATCTATTATTCACTGCCTGGTCACTTCCGGTGTTGAATTTTCAAATGGAACACCACAATATATAATATAAAATTTCTTCTCTTGAAAAAAGGTAAAATTTGAGCGGTGATCTCATGTTATTCTTGGTATCGTTTAATCAAAAAAAATATTTTCCAAATAGTAACCATATCTTCTGACAAGCACTTTCCGAAAAGATAATTCTCAGATGAATCTAACGATACAAATCTATTAACGAATGAAATCAAAATAAGAACATAACGAAAAAAAACCCACAGTCGTCTCACTGAGTGTTTTTTTTTCTAAAGAACACTCGAAAAAAATAAACGATATGAATATTAGAAACCTGGCTATCTATGGCACACTGACAAATATAAATTAATAAATATCTAGTACTTTCCTTCCTAACATGAAATTTATAGAATCTTCTGAAACAGTCCATACTCGAAGTGAAGGAGAATTATCAACGAAAAAAAAAACTCAAAGTCGTCTCCGCAAGTTTACTGGCAAAATGTGCAGTTACTTCTGCTTCATTACTTCTTGGCTATCATCAGTCATAGTACAAATAAAGTTAATCTACAAAGAAAAATAGTTTTTACTCAACATTAAGCGGAAATGGTTACACTAATGAGTGGAAAATGACAACAGCAGGTTTATTCAATTTTCAAGGATGTTCAAATTGTAGTTTCAATAAAAATACAACCACAGAGTGACATATTTGTGTATGGACCAGGTGCTCTAATGGCAGTGCGCCAGTGCCAGCTATGGGAACAAGGTGTGAAATATGTTGGGTTAGTGAACATATCAACAAAAATAATAGCAAATATTTATTTTTCTCCAACCTCCACTGTGTTCGGCTCGATCTGATATAATAATTATGACACCAGTTATGTTATTCTCCGCACACCATTCTAAAGATTTCTGAATAGCGATGGCCTCAGCCGTGAAAATGCTGCATATCTTCGGAATCTGGAATTTGTGTGTTTCGTTTTCACTTGATGCGACAAGGAAGGCACTACCGACTCCTTCCAGTTTTTTGCTGCCATCTGTATAAATTATTGTTTTATTATCGTAATTGTTGATTTCCGTTTTCAACAGAATTTCGTTAAAGGAGGTTATTTCGTTATAATTGGGAAATATGACTGTGGGCTTAGAAAATATGCATTCATAGTTGTTTGTAAATACAGGTAAATTATTAGTCGTCACAATGAATTCAATATAATCGTTGGTTTCTAAAAAAGCAGCATGTAACAGAGGCGAATTTTTAAGTCTCCAGTACCTATTGGTTATACCAAATAGATACGTCCCTAGGACGTTTTGTGCTATTAGGGAAATGCTGAGATGTGTTTACGTTGGGTCAGGTTCGCACCAGATAGCGGTCAAGAAGCTATCTGGGACATCCCTGTACCGATGAGAGCCAACAGCTCGAAACCGGTCTGCAGGTAGTCAAGCGTTCCTCAACCAGTTAGGCGAGCACGGCGTTCAGGAACGAAACACCTTCGATTTTATTCGTCTACGAATCATTGCATAGATTTCATGAGGATGTAATCCAATGTTCTGTGTGGCATATAGCCAGGAACGTAGTTGTTTTTTTCTCGTTATCTACCATTTTCGTTCATTTTATGAACTATTGTGATATTGACTTTGAGTTTCTCCCTATTTGTGACCATTGCATTCCACTTTGAGTATCTGGCGTTTTCCTAATTGGATGTTGTTTATTTTTGATGACCTCTAATACACCCCTTCTAGTTCCTAGGAGCTACACTTCCACTTTAGCTCCTGAGAAGAAAATGTGGGATACTAAGTAAAATATACTCGACAATGGTATAACTGCTCTGAAGGAACGTAACAAACATTTGTTTCCTAACATAAACATTCTTTTGGAACTATTCTGTTGCCTGCCTATAAGTGTTGCATCTTCTGAAAGGGGGTTTTCAGCACTCAGAAGGCTGAAAGATTGGATAAGATCCAAAATGGTTCGAGACGTTGAATGATAAAAGATATACGCTGGTCAGAATAGATGACTGGAATTTGTTATTTAGTTATTAAAATTTGATTCTTTATATTATACAGGGTGTCCGGAGTTAAAACCGACAAAACTCATGGGGTTATAGGGACTGTCGATATGATTGCAGAATTCCATAAACGAATGTCCAAAACCGCTTCGTTACTGAGATACAGAGTGATTTGTGGATTTTGACAAAAAATTCAATCCGTCATATCAAATACAGGGATTAACCGATTAGATTAAAATTCGGTACACGAATTACACTGAAAAGCATCAACAAGTAGCCCTTTGATCGAAACCAATATCAGGACCGTAATAATATTTTTCCCTATGTTGAGTTATTGTTAGAATAACTCACCCTGTATAATAGTAACCAAAAATTCCACCTCAGATTCGAAATCTACGGTGAAAATTGTATAGGAATTTGTTGAAAAATCTTCTGGCACTATCTTAGTAATTCCGTAATTAATTATTATTTCAATTTTTTTCATTAAAAAATCAATTATTTTCGGATGATATACCACCAAAATTGGTAATATAATAAATATTTACGAAACCATAACATGATTGTCGTTATTTTCTTCAATCAGTTCATAAATCGAAGTGAAATGAAATATTTTCATAACCCGAAAAAACTGAAAAATAAATTCGTATCAGGACTAGAATGAGTTTTTTGTTTGTTTATGTTAGCTGACCTAGTACATCAATAGTTATCAATAATTTGATCGTAGATTCGAAATCTTAAGAAATCGTATAAGAACCTGTTGAAAAAGGATAAGAGTGAAGTTTTCGTAAGTTATATTCGCTCACTAATGAATTTGAATTTATGAAAATACTACACAAAGAACAATAACTGTTTGTAATGAACATAACAAAACCAATGAATTCGTAAAAAACTTTCACTACCCAGTATTACACAACATTTTCGAAGTGGAGCCCTCCAGCATCAATACATTTTTGAGATCGTGCTACTAGATGATTCACTGACTTGCGAATTATTTGAGGGTTATTTCTAACACAGGCAGCAGTAATTTTCCATAATACAATTTCTCTTATTCAAATTTCTTCGTTATGAACTTCTCACTTTAAACGACCTCATAAAAATTAATCAAGCTGAGTTAGATCAGGGGATAGCGGTGGCCAATTTACTGAACCTCCACGGCCAATCCATCTATTGGGGTAATGGGCATCGAGATGGTTCCTAACTGGAACTGAAAAGTGAGGTCTAGCACCATCATGCTGGAACCACATACCCCAGGTATTTACACCTTGCAATAGACATTTAGGTAAACATCACCAGTTAAAGCCCATACAAAAATAGAATATCTGCGTATTCCTCATTAGTGAGATGAAACGGCATCATATAAACACTCTCAGAACTATAGTTTGATCCTAAAAACACTGGAATAATGAATGAACACCAATAAAACAACCGCTGATGACAGGTAAACAATGGTTTTCCATAATGAAATTCTGAATTTAACAACAAGCCTAGTATTCTTTATACACAAACATTATAAGGTACTGATATGGATTTATTATTCGAAAGCTCAGTCCGATCATTTTTCAACAAGTTTTTAACTTTTCTCAGTGCATTTCGAATCTGCGATCATATCATTGTTATACTAGATCATCTATTCTTACAGGAATATAATCATAGACAACCTCATTCCAGTCCAGATACGAATTTATTTTTCAGTTTTTTAGGGCCATGAGAGTAATTTATTTCACTACGATTCACGAACTGATTGAAGAAAATAACTATATTCATGTCATGGTTTCGTTAATATTTATTTCATTACCAATTTTGATGGTACTTTATCCGACAATAATTGATTTTTGAATGAAAAAAATTAAAATGATAATCAATTACGAAATAACTAAGATAGTGCCAGGAGATTTTTCAACAAATTCCTATACAATTTTCACCGTAGATTTCGAATCTGAGGTAAAATTTTGGGTTACTATTATACAGGGTGAGTTATTCAAACAATAACTCAACATAGCAAAAAAATATCATTCCGATCCTGATATTGGTTTCGATCAAAGGGCTACTTGTTGATGCATTTCAGTGTAATTCGTGTACCAAATTTGAATCTAATCGGTTAATCCCTGTATTTGATATGGCGGATTGAATTTTTTGTCAAAATCCACAAATCACTCTGTATCTCAGTAACGAAGCGGTTTTGGACATTCGTTTATGGCATTCTGCAATCATATCGACAGTCCCTATAACCCCATGAGTTTTGTCGGTTTTATCTCCGGTATATTGGATGATTTGATTAACTTTATGTTTATAGAACCCTCATGGTTCGAAATTACTAATATACCGTATGTTCTACTCGTGACAATACAATGGACGACTTTTGTGTTTGTTGCAGCAAAAATTTTTTTTTTTTGTTCGTTGCAGATCCTCAGCGGGCGGTACGATAACAAAGAGGACTTCACCGTGGTCCTGCAACCGTTCATGAAGCTGTTCAATGCACCCGAGGACCCCGTTCATCGGCTCGACGAAGTCATCGACATCTCCTACATCACTCACGACTGCTTCCATTTCTCGCAGAAAGGCCATGCCCTAGGTGAGCCACTTACTTATCACAATATCAGCGCACCCATGATCGCAGGGCCGAATTTCTTTTTTTATTTATTTATTCACGGGAAACCCCCATTACAAGTTTGAATACAGTATGGATATAAGAATATAATGTATATAATAAATAAACACCGTGTCTCAACACATAGGTGCTCACTTAACAATTTCGATAAGGAAATGAGAAGAACAAAAACATGAAACGAAACAATAGGCTAAGAGCTATCACGCAAAGACATCTTGAAATTATTAAATGCACATCCTAATACATCTAAATTACTTCTATTTATGAATCTTAATGTCCTTTCTATTGGATTGTGCTGTCCATAATTTGTGACATGAAATGGTAATTAACTCGACTATTTTTTTACTCGGCTACGCCTCGTTAAAAAAATCAGATCTCGATCACCAAAGTATCATTTCGCGCTCTAGATACAAAAATAACTATTTTTCACTGTGGTGAATGAATAAGTTGATGAAGCATAATTTCAAGGTTTTTTACTACCGTTTGAACCAGAATGACAAGTATATGCAGTCAATAGAAATAAAAGCGTCAAAGATGCAATAATTATGATCATTCAGAATTTGACAGAATAATCAGAAATAATCAGAAAATTTCGATTTAACGTTCTGATTTTTGAGCAGTGTATATAGTTGATTCACTAAAGTTTCTCATGGACATTCAGATGGTTCAGTATTTTCCTGCAATTTATTTTTTTGGAACAGAGTTTTGGGGATTATCAGAATTGTTATACCTACATCAGGTAATTCTCGAAAAGACATATATGATCGCATTCACGTCTATAATTTATGCTATTTATTTTCAAAAACAATAAATAATAGCAAATAACATATTCCTTATAATGTTCATGTTTTGTTCCAAGTAATATCATCAATCTACATAATCGATATACCTACCCACACCTACTCCGATTTCATATGAGAACAAAAACATAGTCAACAACATCGAATGAGGAACTTTTATACGTCAATCCATACCTATATTAATAGTAGGTATAATTATCCGTCGAAGTCCTATCAACAAGTTTGATTAATAGGATAACAAGAATTGGGACCAAACTGTATAATAATGCGCCGATCATTCATATAAGTTGCATTTTAAGTGCTCAATGGAATTATAAACATTTTCCCCCAGTGCAATTTGGTATTGGTATTGGTAGGTTGGATGGAGACAGATGCGCTGCGACCTAATTAGGTCTATTGTGCCCCATCTGCTCCTGCTATATCAAGGATTTCCTGTTCATAGCAGCCCCTCGAGATTCAATTCCTTCAGGAATTTGAGGATTTTGAGGGGGTCTAGCTGTGGTATTTCTTCCACAGTCAGCTGGTGTGTTCCCAGTATGTTCAATCTTTTGTGATGTACAGCGTCACACTCCATCAGTATGTGATGGGGTGTTTCTGGTTCTTCCTCACAGAATCTACAGGTGCCGTCCTCCTGTAAGCCTAGCTTCCTTAGGTGTTCTTTGAGTCTGCAATGCCCCGTTAGAAATCCCGTTATTGCTTTGAGACTTCCTTTGCTGAGGTTTGTCAGTGTCTTAGATCTTTCTCGGTTGAAATTTCCAAGGAGATCTTTAGCATGCCGTAGTCCTGGAAGTCTTTTCCATTGTCTGGCTCTCCAGGCTCCTTCCGCCTTCTCAAGTTCTCCTTGGAAATAGGAATTTCCAAGGCCGCAGAATGGCTCTGGTCCGATCAGTGGCGTTGAAGCCCCTTGTCGTGCCAGAGCGTCTGCTTGTTCATTCCCCTTCACTCCGATGTGCCCTGGCACCCAGAGGAGGATAACTTCATTGTTGCTGCCTAGCTCATTCAATTTGCTTAGGCATTCCCATACCATCTTCGAGTTGATGTAGGGAGAGCTCAACGCTTTGATGGCTGCTTGGCTATCGGATAAGATCGCGATGTCCTTCTTCCGGTATTTCCTGTCTAGGTTGAACTGGATGCATCTTCCTATGGCGTGTATTTCCGCTTGAAAAATGCTGGGGAATTGTCCCATGGATTCGAAGTATTTGGTGCGAGGCACAAAGACTCCTGCTCCAGTTCCCTCGGGTGTTTTAGACCCGTCCGTATACCAAGTAATGGTGTTCCTTCCCAGTGATTCGATGGATTCTGTGCTCCATTCGCGCTTGTTGCTCAGCTCCACTCGGAAGTTCTTCTCAAAACTGAACTTCCTAATGATTTGATCTGTTGGAAGATCGGCGAGGTGTACGATCTCAGTGGGGGGTGAGCTCCTTACACTCTGCGTTTTCCCTCTTAGTCCGACCTTGGCTAACCTGAGATGTGCTCCATAGGCAGTTTTCCTCACCACGATGTGTAGAGGTGTGAGATCCAAAATGACCTCTAGTGCTGCTGTTGGAGCTGATCTCATTGCTCCTGTTATGCAAATACATGCCAGTCTCTGCACCTTCCCTAATATTTTCCTTGTAGTGGCGAGTTCGGTTCTGCCGTGCCACACTACGGCTCCGTAGGTGATCATTGGTCTCACTAGCATGGTGTACATCCATCGCAGTATTGATGGGTTACACCCCCACGTTTTGCCTGCAAGGTTCCTGCACACCATCAGTGATGATTTTGCCTTACTGGCGATCTTTTCTACGTATCTATTCCAGAGAAGCTTTGAGTCAAGGATGAGCCCTAGATACTTCACTTCTTGCTGCCATTCTAGGTCTTCTCCGTTTAGACGGACTACCCTTAAGTGCTGAACCTTCGTTCTTCTAGTAAAAGGTACCAATGTGGTTTTCGTTGAATTAATTCTCAACCCCACCGAATGGCACCATCTTCTGGTAGTCTCTAGCTCTCTCTCTATGAGGTCGCAGAGGGTCCCTTCAAATTTGCCTTTGGCCATGATGACTAATGACTATGTCGTCCGCATATCCAAAGCAAGTTACTCCGTTCTCAGTAAGTGCAAGGCCGGTAACATTTTCAATTGAAAATCACGAACAATTGTGGTAACTTTGTAGACAAAAACTGAAACAGTGGTGCAACATACTTCGCGCATTGTGTGTAAAATAGATGAGATTTTGATATTCTAACTTTGTCCTCAATCGAGCAAATATCCGAGAAATCATTCATTTCTGAATGTTTAACAATATTTTTTCTACAAACGTCAAAAAATGACAAGGTTTGCGCATTGATAACATATTGCGAAGTGACACTTTTCTTCAGTTTCCTATACGTCATCATGAGATCTTGCAACAAACAATGCGCGAAGTGAAACAGTGCGCGAAGTACCTACTTCGCGCACAAGTTGTTGAGCTGTTCCTTCAAACGATTTCGAATTATTCAAGAAAATCTGTGAATGAAATAATTTCTCAACACCTTATTCTCACGGCTCATTGCATTGTACATGAAGGAAAGTTGACTTCAATCGGTCTATTTTGGTCTCTTGTTTACCCTGTAATAGTACGTTGTTCTGGGACACTTTCTAAAACTGCATACCTTGTTAGAGCTTTTTTGGAGTTATATGAGCTTTTGACACATTTTCAATTTTAGTCCTAATTTTTGACTGATTTCCAAGAAAATAAAATCGTATCAATCAAGCAGTAACAGGTGATTAAAATTTGAAATATTGAAAAAGATGGCGAGATGACGGCAGTCTGCGGCAGTCATGTGATCGTCTTCGTCAGGTGACGTCGGATTTTCCCGAATCCTGTGCCCTCTGCAAGCGTGCGCCCTAGGGCATGGCCTTTCTGTAATATACATATAATATTTATTTATTATTATTGCAAAACAATCCATAGTAAAAATCATGAGATCTCATACAAGTATACAGGGTACTGCATCTCACCTACCGTCTTCTATGGCTCAGTTATCAGTTGAGTCAGGATTTTGATATTCTGCAGGCTCCAGTTGTCTCATAGGGCGCATACAAGGGATATAATTTCGAATATACAGGGTGTCCCAGAAAAGTGTGACGTCATAATGATATATGTTTTTAAATAGCATGCCATATATTTTGTTGCACATTATAGTGCTTCCAGTGGTTACCCACATACTCCTGGAATTTAATTTGGATCGGTTCAGTGATATTCACGTAAAAAAAAATATAACAAAGGAATGCAATTTTTCACCACTGGTCAAAAACATTAATGACAAAAAAGAGAGTGCCTGGTCAATAGAATCATAACATGAGAGGTACATATCGAATAAAGCCTAAAAGGATCGCTAACTGAGTTTGATTGACACGAATCATCACAGTGGTGCAAAATTTAGCGGCAAATTTTTCAAATTTCAAAGCATTATACTTTTCTTATTTCAAATTCGAGCCCTTGTATATTTTCATGACATTCGATGCGTGGATGAAAATCAAACTTTTTTCTTTTCACGACCCTATCGAAATTTTCATCGTATCAAAAGTTATTGGCCGAAAAATCGTTTCATAAACTACTCAAGCAGTCATTTGATGCAATAAAAAACGAAGGAAGCTTCGATAAACAATTTCTTGATACAACATATCAGAAATTCAACAGAACTACTTGTCTAGATCCTTTACACATCATGAAAGTATAGAAAATCACAGTATTTCTAGTAATAAACTTTTCAATAACAAACAAATAGGAGTATTACCCCTCGGTATTACCTATAAATATAAAATGTATTAAAATGACAAAAAATAATATTTCGTTATGAACAGCTTGAAAAATGTATAATAATGAGCTAACAATGTATTGAATTTGATCTACCCAAGCCCAAATAGACTCCTGACACTTCATTAGAGTTAAATGTCAATAATTTACTTCTCAAAGCCACCTTCGTTTTTTACTCATTCAAATGACTATCAGAATAGTTGACGAAACGAGTTTTCGGCAAATAACTTTTGCGATATGCAGGGGCTCCAATTCGAAATAATAAAAATATAGTGCTTTGAAATTTGAAAAGTTTGCTACTAAATTGTGCATACCCTGTTATGATTCGTGTCAATCAAACTCGGTTAGCGATCCTCTTAGGCCTTATTTGATATGTATCTCTTATGATTCTATCGACCAGGTACTCTCATGCCTGTTATTAAGGTTTTCGACCACTAGTGTAAAATTGAATGTTTTGTTATATTTTTTTTACATGAATATCACTGAACCGATTCCAATCAAATTCCAGGAGTGTGTAAGTAACCACTAGTAGTACTTAAATGTGCATCAAAATATATGGCATGTCATTTAAAAATTATAATAATAATAATAATAATAATAGGTCTTTATTAGGCGAAAGTTCAGTATAAAACTATTCTTACACTTCAACCTAACAATTATAGAAATGAACATAGATATCATTGTAGCATTCAACGTAATCAGAACTATACTCTGTATTGAAAACAAAGAAAAAAAAATCAGAAGAAGAAAAATTCTTGACGAATGTGAGAGATAGATATATTATGAGATATGGCTTTCTATTATGACGTAACACTTTTTTGGGACACCCTGTATAATCGAAATTATTTACCTGGAATGCGCCCTATGAAACAATTGAAGTCTGCAAAATAACATAATCCTGACTCAACTGATAACTGAGATATAGAAGACGGAAGGTGAGATACAGGACCCTCTGTATAGGACACAACATCCCATACAAGAAAAATTCCTTGTGGATAGCGCTGTAATGAAACATTTTTCTTGTCAGATATATTTATCATTCAAAGAGGAAGAGGACTATGCTTGAGCATTATAAAAATGAGATTGAAGAAAATTACTAAGATATTTCATCAAATTGGGAACATTGGGAATATTACAACATTTTGCAGAGTTTTTTGTCAATTTCGCTGATCAGCGGTCTAATAGCACCGAATATGTGCAGTTATCGCTGGAATATTCAATGTTCAATTTGATGCAAAAATGTGTTTGTTGCAGTTCAATTGATCAGAATTTCATCAATAAATAATATTGTGTGTAGACGCATATGCACCCCCCTGAAAGAAAATTTTGGCGGCGCCCATGAGAAGAACCCACCCTTTTTTTCTCCTTTATCATTCACCTCTGACTCACCTCGTATAAAGAGAAGATGTGAGAACAATAATTCATGACACATTTTTTCATTACAGCTGCCAACATGCTGTGGAACAACTTGCTACAACCTGTAGGAAAGAAGAGTTCCGTCAAGTTGCAGTATGTGATGCAAAGTTTTGAATGTCCAAAGCCAGAATCTCCTTTCCTTTTCACTAGCAGAAATACAAAGGAGTTTCTACAAACTGGATACAAGTGAACTGATCCATTCCATCGACATCCAACGACGAAATATGAAAGACCTGAATACTCTTGTGAAATCCATTTTTGGGCTAAGAGAACATTAGGAGTATACAGATACGTTAGCACTAATATTTGCGAACAAATATTTCAAATTCTAGGGCATTTCTCAAATATGAAGGTTTAAGTTGAATTGATACTACCTGAACTTCTCCGTTTCCAGATTTATGAATAAATTTTCAGAAGATTATGGAACTCAATTCTGCTAATTTAATCATACCAGAGCATTCAGTAGTCATCTAGTACAGGGTGGCCAACTAAGAATCCAGAGTTCGATACCTCTGTGGTCTTGAGAGATACAAAAAAAAGTTTCGCATTCAAATTAAAAAGATAACCGAGCTTCACATTTCAAAATTTCTTTGAAATACACAGGGTGTTCCGTAAGGTCACAGCACATCAAAGCTATGTTTTTTTCATCGGAACACCCTATATTTCATTTCATTTTTCAATTCTCCCTGAAGATCTGATTTCAACGACGTATAATACTTAGGGTCTAGCAGTGAAAGTTACTGACATATAGGGTGTGCAAAATCGAGATTTTCCAAATTCAGGATTTTTTTTTGTCGAAACTGTTCATTATTCGTCAAAACGGTTTACATGTCCCTTTTTCAACTTTTTACTCACTATCAATTGATGTTCAATTGACATTTAATTGAAACGAATTATAAATTAAGATTTTCTGAACACCTTGTATCAATTTCAATTGAACACCAATTGATAGTGAGTGAAAAGTTGAGATAGGGACATGTAAACCGTTTTGACAAATAATGAACAGTTTCGACAGAAAAAAATCCTGAACTTGGAAAATCTTGATTTTGCACACCCTATATGTCAGTAACTTTCACTGCTAGACCCTAAGTATTATTCATCGTTGAAATCAGATCTTCAGGGAGAATTCAAAAATGAAATAAAATATAGGGTGTTCCAATGAAAAAAGCAAAGCTTTGATGTGCTGTGACCGTACGGAGCACCCTGTGTATTTCAAAGAAATTTTGAAATGTGAAGCTCGATTAATACATCAATTTTGATACATGACTTTTTTTGTATCTCTCAAGACAACAGAGAAATCGAACTCTGGAGTCTTAGTTGGCCACCCTGTACAATGAAGGAACTTCGTATGAGGATTCATACATTATATCACTCGCCATTTTGTTTTTGACGATTATTTTCCTTTGAAATTCTGTTCTGTATGAAGGATTGTGAAACTGTGGTACATTGGAATAGAAAAATAAAAATAAAAAATTCCCAGCTGTTCAAAAGGTGACTAGTGGAGGGGGGTCTGAAATTTCATAATATGGAAACAAATCGATGAAGAAAAGGCTTACAAAAAAGTTGATTAGCATAAATCAACTCAGGTCCATCATATTAGGGTTTTACAGTTCTGCCTATTCATACAGTGTGTAACCCACAACACCCTGTTAATTTATACCCCATCGACCGATTTTCAAAAACAAAAATTCCATAATATTCAGCAACAAGCTATATTCGAAAATGTGAAAAAATCTGAAATATATATTTTCAAAGCCTACTTTTGTTTGTTGAAGTTTCAAATACGACTAATACGGAATTTTCTTTCGGAAATTTGAATACAATATCTCATATAGGGTGTTACTTATTCAATGGCAAATTTCATAACTTTCGCTTTCTCGATTCACCCTGTAATAAGATCTAAGGACAACTACGAAAAAGCCAAAATGCTCTAAGTGGAATGAGATGTTCAATGAATATACTAAGCTCGAAGTCATTTCCACAAATGTTCATAAATTAACGAATCTGGTACATATCTCGGCGTCAAACAGTGAAATCCGTCATTCCTTGCAATGTCTAGTAATTCCACGTATTGTCGGCAAACAGCCTAACTCTCAATTCCGAACACCGTTTGCTCAATTCAGGCATTCCCTGTAACGACCAAAGAAAGGTTCATTGAGGTTGAGTCAGGTTAGGTTGTTGAGAAACAGTAGTATCTTTAGTTCTCTTCTGTAATTTGCCGGAAAATATACTTTCTAGGAAGGTCCATTCAGGCCAAGTTTGGTTAGATTTTGTTTGGGAGAAGTAATCTCCATTTCTATGCTAATGCAGTCATTATATTTTCCTTCCTCAACCTCCTCAACCATCCAGCAAACAGAGTAACGGCTGAAAATATAAGTTACGCTGTTACGCTGTTTGCCGGCAATACGTGAAATGCATAGGCATTCCAGGAAATGACGGATTCCATCAATTGACGCTGACATATAGATAACGAGAGAAAAACAACTACTTTCCTGGGTATATGCCACGCAGAACATTGAATTACTTCCTCCCGAAATCTATGCAACGATTCGTCTATACGTGTGATTCCATATTCTGCGTGGCCATGGCCAGGAAAGTAGCTGTTTTTCTCTCGTTATCTACCATCCATAATGTCCCAGGGACGTCCCTATTTGATACAATTCAAGTCCGAATGTCCCGGGCCTAGTATATTTGTCCTTGGGACGTCCCATCTCGTACATCTCATGTAATGTCCGAGTACGGACTTCCATGGAATATGACAGCTGGTAGATTACATATGTACTAAGAATAGCATCCTTCAGATTTCCCATACATATTGTAGAATGTCCATGCAAGGACGTCTATAGGATGTCCCCGATGGGACCTTATTTTGAACGTTCCTTCAGGGACATTCATCGGATGTCCAAAGTAGTACATATTCTGGCATACCTTCAGATTTCATATAATGTCCCTTCTAGAACAACCATGGAATGTCCCAGACCATACAAATCTTCTAATATCTCTGCAAGGACGCCCATAACATATCCAGGATCGAATATCGTTCGAAATGTCCCTTAGGGACATCCGTCGGATGTTCAGGTGCTCCAATTGGTACAAGAACTGTTATGACTTAGGAAGAAACTGTATCCTGATGGACATCCATCGGTGGTATACATTGACCTCAAAACTTCAGATATACATCCACTAGAAACATCCTTTCCGCAAGCGAATGATCATTTTTTCTTCCAATGTCCTAGAGAAATAACGTCCTACCGACGTCTCAGTCGGTACGTTCAATATGTTGTCCCTGCGAGGACGTTAATTTCGCCGACGATCGTCTGCTCCTCGTAGACTATAAATACTTCTTGTCAATGTCCTTCACGTGAGCCAATTGGACATCCTTGGGACACTGCTTCGAAGTTCCCTCTTGAAAACCTTCTTCAGGATCTATTGGAGACCTTCTAGGGACCATCAACTCACCTGGATGTGCTCATCAGTTATGCAAGATCTGGTCCAGAGGAGACCAAATAAATTGAAATTCAAGAATAATTCGTACGTCCCTGGGACATCCTATGGACATTCACTCAATATCTAAGCATTGGTCTAATGGACGTCCGTGGTACCAAATTCGAACGTACTATGGACGTCCTGAATGTCTCTCTTCATATTGCCATCTCATTACACTTTGAGGATTTCGGATTTTTCCTAGTTGAGAAAATGCCAGTCGGACAATCAGCCACTTCCATTTCATCCCAAATGGGAATTACAGTCTTGAAGTGTTTCTTTTCTCTTCCGCAAGACATCAGCATTGTGTCCATTTCGCAGTGGTCTAACGCCTCCTGGATATTAAATGCCGAGAGGTGTTTACGTTTGGTCAGGTTTAAACCAGATTGATGCCATCTGGGGACACCCTTGCACTGATGAGAGCGAAAGCTTCCTGAAGAATTCAAGCACAGCTCAGCATTTAGGAGAGAAACACTTGCAACATTGATGAAATAAACCTCTGGTGCGCTCACTCTCCATTTGTTTCGTCAGACTGGTTCTTGATATAAACAATTGAATTTCAGACGATGACGTGGGGTTCACATATCGAATGTTAGATGGCGTGATTCTTAGAACTTATGATCAACATCAGTTCTACCAACCTTGATGCGGCTAAATCGCAAAATGTATTCCCTATCTTCATTGGTCACAATTCGGTCACAATTGTCACATTGATGCCTGTAATTTTGGTACGGCAGCAGAGTAAATTTAGCGACATTCCGCCATATGCGTATTAATAATCAATACGGATAATCTCTATCTGTTTCCATAGCGAAACATGAAGCCAATTTTTGAAGACAAATGACTATCCATAAGGAAACGTTTTGAAACGATCAGACACATACTGCTTTGATTGAAAGGCTAGTAAACGTCATTGTCCACCGAAACGCATGTCTTTGATGACTACTATAATAGCGCATGGCGCATGCGTATCATGCCACCAAATCCCTATGGATATTCATTTGTTTCATATTTTGGCTTCATCCTGGCACCCGTTATGATCCGTATTGTTTATTAATACGTATATGCATTCCGCCATGCTATGTTCATCGAAGTAGGCGAAAATCAAGGAATTGTAAAACAGGAAAGGATTGAAGTGCGTACACCAGAGGTTTATTCCATCAATCTTGCAACTGTTACTGTATTCATCAATACGAATCGTTGCATAGTTTTCGGGAGGATGTGTTTCATTGTTTTGCGTGGCATATAGTCAATAAGAAAGTAGTTGTTTTTCTCTCGATGTCTACCAGATTCTCTGAGCTCAATATATTAATTATTCAAGATCTTAAAAGTTTATATATACAGGGTGTTCCTTAAAGACATGCTAATATTCGAGGGGGTGATTATTGGACTCATTTTAAAAATAAAGCTCCATATGAACGTATATGTCCTGAATGTCTTAACTTTTGAGAAACAGGGTGATGAAGTTTTGAAAAATATTCAGTTTTTTGATAATAACTGTACACATGTCTTCATGAAATTTGGTACACGTGTTTTATGCATCAAGGTGCATCTTCTGATGTACAAACATTTACATTTTCTGTACCAGTGGCACCGTTCCGGGGATATTATTGTTTATATTTCAATCGAAAGTGAGCAACGACAAAAAAATTTCAAATTATGTCATAAGAGGCTATTTAATTATGTACAAAAAAATTCTCTTGTTGATACTTGATAGAACGCTTCGTTCTCGAGAAAAAACGGAAAAACGAGACCAGACTTCAAATTTTGATGTCTGAGGTTCATCATTCCAAAAATCAAATGAACCTTTTTTCACACAATTCATCTCTCAGTAACTTTGAAAATCGTCTCGATTGATGAAGAGCTATAACGAATATAATACAAATAGGATGAAAGACAAACACTCTCCGAAGGCTGCAAGAAGTTGTGATCATATTAATATGTCGATTTTGGAGGAATGGAATGAAAATTTGAGATGACAATGAAAATTGTTGT